CCCTGCTCACCGGCGCTTTGCAGTCTGTTTACCCAGAATGAGGAAGTGAGAGAGAAGCTGTGTTTCCCCTTTGTCTCCATGTACTTAAAAAAAAATAAATCAAGGGGAGTTTACATAACAAAGGTCGCCAGTTACAGGCAAGATTCACTGGTGTGTGACCATTTAGAGTTTAGATTACAGCCGCGTCTCCTAATCTTGTTCCAGCACACGTCATCAGGACCCCATCCACCCACCCATCCATCCACGCACCTACCCATCCACCCATCCACCCGTCCATCCATCCATCCATCCATCCATCCATCCACCCATCCATCCATCCACCCACCCACCCATCCACCCATCCATCCATCCATCCATCCACCCACCCATCCACCCATCCATCCATCCATCCATCCACCCACCCATCCACCCACCCATCCATCCGTCCATCCATCCATCCATCCATCCACCCATCCATCCATCCACCCATCCACCCATCCATCCACCCATCCATCCGTCCATCCATCCATCCACCCATCCACCCATCCACCCATCCACCCATCCATCTGTCCATCCATCCATCCACCCATCCACCATCCACCCATCCATCCATCCATCCCTCCATCCATCCACCCATCCACCATCCACCCATCCACCCATCCACCCATCCATCCATCCACCCACCCATCCACCCACCCATCCATCCATCCATCCATCCATCCGTCCACCCATCCATCCATCCACCCATCCACCCATCCACCCACCCATCCATCCACCCATCCATCCATCCACCCATCCATCCATCCATCCATCCATCCACACCCATCCACCCATCCACCCATCCATCCATCCACCCATCCACCCATCCATCCATCCATCCATCCATCCATCCATCCATCCACCCATCCATCCATCCATCCATCCATCCATCCACCCATCCATCCGTCCACCCATCCATCCATCCACCCATCCATCCATCCATCCATCCATCCATCCACCTTGACTGACTCTGGGAAACTCCCTGATGTGCTGAGCCTCAGATCCCCCATCTTGCATTTCACAGTTTACCTGCAACCCACCCACCCCATTTATAGCACAGCTCTCCTGTCCTGTGAACTATGGGGAAGGTGCTGGGTGCTAGTCTGGTCCATCTTGGGTGCACTTGGGAGACCTCCATGACCCCAAGCAACAGTTTACACCCCAAGTCTTGCATTCCCCCTCATTGCACCATGTTCCCAGCCAGTGAAGAACCCCATAAAAGTCCCAAGGAATGAGTGTGACCCAAGGGCCATTTCCCATTTTGGGATCAGAACCAATATGGCGGCAAGAGGTCAAGTTCATGCTTTTCCTTTGCTCTGTGCAGAAGGGACACCATGTCACAGATTTGGTTTTGTCATAAAAATGGCCCGGCTTGCAGCCTGCATTGAAGAGTCAGGCAGCTAAGCAGGTGTGACCATGGTGACAGAGGTAACACAGTGAGTTCTGGTCCCATTCCCCCCCAGGGTCACCTGCCTGTGGGTGGCCCACACATGGGTACTTTGTAAGATGGCAGCTTTTAAAGTCTCATTATTTGATTATAGAATCAACAGCATAGAATATGTGGGGACACAGAATGACACGGAGACTTGATGGCTGCCACCTGTCCCCTGGGGCTAGGGTGGGGATTATCAGTTTACCTATCATCTATCAATCATTTTGTCCCCTGGCCCTGACAGACACTCAGCAGTGCCTGACACATTGTCATTGTCACAAAGTTTGGGGGAGGGGTTGCTTCTGGCCTCAGAGTCCCCGCTGGTCACCTGACAACCCACCTCAACCACCCACGGCACCCGAATGACCATCAGTGGCCCCGGCTGGCCAACCTGTGCCTGGGCCCTTTGGATCTCACACTCCATCTTGCTCCCAGTGTCACTTTGTCCCTGCCTTGTCACCAAGACAAGCTGTCACCACTCATGTCATCCACCAAGACAACTACTAGGTCCCTCCCCTCTGTAGGCTGAGTGGCTCACGCGTCTGAGGTCCCTGACATCACCACATGTCCCCCAAAGTCCCATTTTAAACACAGCTCAACATGGCCCTGCCACCTGTGTCCCCAAAGTGTGACACCCCTGTTCCCAGCCATGAAGAGTCACCAGAAGCCACCCTGTCACATTCAGAGCCACCCGTTGGGGTGAGCACTTTCCTCCGTTGATGCCTCAGGTGCCCCGAGTTTAAAGCGGAAGTTAGGAAGGATGGATCGAGACGGGTCAATTGCACAACTCCACTCTGCCGTGGGGTCACCCCGTCACCACCCTCCCCCCAGTCACCGCGGGGCCATTTGTCTCCTGCTCAGATTTTCCTGCCAATCTTGCAAGGCACAGTGCAGTGGGTGCGGCGGTGCCCCCCAGCCACGCGGCTGGGTCTCCCTTCACCCCGTTTTCCTGGTGCAGGACTCAGCCTTACTTGTACCAAGGAGGGAGCTAAGGCGGGGCCACCTCCCCTGGGGTGTGGGGTTCACCAGCTGCACCCCCAGCCCTGGCTCTGTGCCTCCAAACAGAAGGTGCAGCCCCACTGGCCTCTGAGGGGTCACAGGGAGCTTGGGGGAGACGCAGGGACATTGAGGTTTTGCAGGGACCTTGGGGTGTCCACCGTGCACTCCAGGTGCAGGATCCGAGATCCTGCTTGCAGGGCACAGGGTCCTGGGGTCACACAGAAGAGGGACGCAGGGCCAGGTGCCAGTGCGTGTGCGGTGGGTTCCCCATACTTCGCCCTGTGGTACCCACTGCCTCTGGGGACAAGAAGGGGAGGAGCAAGGTCCCCCAGGGGTCACACAGGTGGCCAAGGCAAGTGGGGCAGGGCTGCAGATTTGTCTGGAGAGGGTGGGGTGCACCTGGCGGGTACAGGGGGCTCAGGGGCGAACAAGGGGTGTCAGGGGACAGGGGAGGGAGAGGGGAGAGGCTGGGGTGGGATGGCCTAGAGGACAGTTGGGGGAGGGGAAGATTGGGGGGGAGCAGCCTGGGGGGAATGGGGAGGGGCTGGGGGAGGGGGAGGGGGAGGGGCTGGGGAGGAGGATGTGGGGGAGGGGAGTCCTGGGGAGGGGCTGGGGAGGAGGATGTGGGGGAGGGGCGTCCTGGGAGAGGGCGTCCTGGGGGAGGAGGATGTGGGGGAGGGGAGTCCTGGGGGAGGGGCTGGGGGAGGAGGATGGGGGAGGGGCGTCCTGGGGGAGGAGGATGGGGAGGGGAGTCCTGGGGAGGGGCTGGGGGAGGAGGATGGGGGAGGGCTGGGGGAGGAGGATGGGGAGGGCTGGGGAGGAGGATGGGGGAGGGGCGTCCTGGGGGAGGGGCTGGGGGAGGAGGATGTGGGGGAGGGGCTGGGGGAGGGGAGAGGCTGGGAGAGGGGGAGGTGGGGGTGGTGCACAGGAGGGGCGTCCCTCAGGGACGAGGGTCCTGGGGAAGAGGTTTGGGTACCCCGGGGAGAGGTAAGAGCGGGGAGGCCTTGGCTGGGTGGGGACCCCAGAGACCCTGGAGCGGGTGACAGTCTGGGCAGTGAGAGGCCAGGGACTGGGAAGGTTGGGGTCTTGGAGTTGGGGTGCTCTCCTGAGGGCCCGGGGCAGGTGGGGTGTCTCTGGGGAAAGGTGCAGAAGTGGGGTGTGGCCGGAGGAAGTTGCAGGGGGAGAGGCTTGGGGGAGGGGCACCCCTGAGGGAGGAGGGTCCCGGGGAAGGGGTTGGGGTGCTCCTGGGGAAAGAGGTGACAGTGGGGACGGCTTGGCCGGGTAGGGGGACACAGAGGAGGGAGGGGCTGGGGGGTGAAGGGGAGCCTCTGGGTTTGGGGGTGCTCCCCGCTGAGGGCTGGGGTCTGGGGGTCATCCCTGGGGTGAGATCCAGGGGACTTTGCCACCCCTGTGATCAAATCAGAACCGAGTCTGGCCAAGTGGGGGAGGGGTGTGTCTGTCTGTCTTCCTGCTGCTGTCAGTCAGGGTGTCACCAGAGCCACACCAGAAACCAGGACCAAGTGTCTTCTTACACACCCTGCTGCTGGGTCCTAGCCCTCTGTCCCCTGGGTCCTGCACCCTACTTAGGTCCCTGGCAGGGAAAAGGATAAAATGTTTGGAGCAGGGGTCGAGGCCATGGTCCCTTTGTCCACACAGTGGCCTTGGCCTGGGGGTGGGGTGGGTGGAGGGAAGAGGACAGTGGCTGTGCACTCTTGTCCACGTCAACACCCCATTGTGCTCGGGTGCACAGGTTTTCAACCAAAAGCCAGGTGAGCACGGGTGGTTGCACCTGTCAAAGCCAAGGGCAAAAAAGATCCCCAGCAGCTGGACACCTAGCTTGCTTCCATTCGTCGCCAATTGTGCAGAAAACATGGCAGTGTCCATGTGACAGTGTGTGTGGACACCCCAAGATTTCCTGTCCTTTGGCCGAATTCCCAGGAGAGGCTTGATCAGGCGGCAACCCTAGTTCTAGTTTTTGGGGAACCTGCGCTTTGTTCTCCATGACAAGTGCACTCATTTGCATTCCCCTAAACAGCCCTAGGACGGTTCAACCGCGCCGTAACCCCCACCCCCGGCCGCTTTTCTTTTTTTCTTTGCAAAAAGACGCACGCAACAGATGAAGCGAGCACAGAAAAGAGCAACCGAGTCACAACAACTGTGCTGCAGTCCCTTCCAAGTCACAGCCAGTCCCCCTTGACATCCCCCACTTTGTGGGGCTCACATCCGTCACCCTCTGAACCACCCCTACCCCAAAAGGGCCCTGGGTGTTTCTTAAGTGAACCTGTGTCTGCGTATGGCTGACCACGACCAGGTCACCTGGCCCAGCCTGGGGACCCCATGGCCTTTTTGGGGTTCTCCTGTGCACACAAGCAGGGTCCAGGACGGGTTTTTCGGGGGCGCCTTCTCCGATGGCTGCGAGCCGTGAGCATTTCGTAGCAGGCTGCACGACCTGGGCCGTTTTGCTCAGCCCATCGGACGGCCCCCGGCTTTCACCAGCACACACCCATCCGTGCCCATGGGCAATGCAAAAGGCAGGAAAATGTCACCTCACCTGGGCCGGGACCTGCAGCCGCAGCTCTACGGGGCTCTCGGGACGGAGCCATCCAAGGAACCGAGGGACAGAGCCAGGCCACCAGGCCTCACACCCCCAGCTGCGGACAGCTGGCCTCCCAAAGGGACCCAGCGGCCTGCGTCCCCAGCTCCCTCTGCGCACCTCCAGAAGCCTGCACCGTGGCCACCACTGGTCCCCAAATGCAAATTGTGCAGCTTTGGTGTCCTCCTCCCCCTTCCTCAGCCCCCCCCACGGGGCCACCACCGTGCAAATGGGGTTTCAGCGCGAGGAACCCGTTTTGAAATTTCCTGCCCAACTGTCTGTTGGGGCCCACGGCAGCCACGCCCAGCTACGGTGTCACCCTACAAGTGACTTCAGAACAGGGTGGGAACAGCCACGCTGCTGGCTTTGCACCAGGCGATGTCACACCCGACCCTTTCCTGGTGGCTTTTCGTACTAGGTTTCCCAAAAAGCACCCAAAACACAAAATGGGGTCACGGGACAGGTTTCCTTTCGCACTGTGGACTGGTCGGTGCTGGCTGTGACTTTTTTCTGCCTTAGGTGACCTGGGGTAGGACGGGGCTTGCAGACGTGACAGAGGTGACAGCGCCCCACACGGGCAGATTAGGGGTTATGTCCCCGAGATTGCTGCCTTGTCACCGTCTGCATGGCCTGTGTCACCCCACTGCCTGCTATTTAATGTCACCCTATAGAACGCCAGCCCTTGGTCCGTCCCCGTCACTGGAGACCCCGTAACTCGCCAGGCTGTCCCAATTCCCTCCTGGCTGTGCTGGGGAATACGATACAGCCCCGAACCAGGAATCCTTTGAAACAGCAGAAATGGGCAGAACCCAGGCTCCACATCGACCCCAAAAAGTCCCAGCTTGTGGTGAAAGCCGAGAGGAGGCCCCACTCACTCAGATAGGTGGGGAACTGGGGTGAATCTGCCCTTGGTGTCCCTTTCTGTTTCACTCAGGACCCCAAAACATGGGACTGTGCCTCCCTAGGAAAGAGTGGATCTTTAAGGAGAAGGTCATTCTGTGTGGGGTCCCGGCTGACCCAGTGGTTGGAAGGAACTTTTAGGGTGACCCCGAGTTACGGCCAGAAGACTCCCCATTAGAAAGGGAAGCCCAGCCCTCAGGCCAGCATTTCCTGGCTGCTTCCCAAGGTCACTGTGACCTCCGACCTTCCCTGTGTGCGTGTGTGGGTGACCCGATGGTGGCATATGGCCCTGGAGCTGGAATGGGCTGGGGCCAACCCTGGGGAGGGGACTTTTAAGTGGGTGGGGGGATCTGTTGTCCTGGAGATGAAATAGGCTGGGGCCAATGTGGGGGTACTTTTAAGTGGGTGGGGGGACCTGTTGTCCTCAGGCTGAGTTCTGAAGGTCTGTGTTCCCCTCCCCATGCTAACCTGGATTTTTTTAGGGGCCCCATCCAGTTTCCAAGTGACCCCGTTTCTCTTCTGGGGCGGACCCGTTACTTACACCAAGCTGTGAACAGCACGGGAAGGGGACGGACCACACCCCAGCACCTCAGCACCACAGAGTCTAATCTGGCTCTGTGCGTCTCGGGGTCCATTTCCTTGGCACACATGAAACCTCAAAAGAAAAAACAAAAAACCCACAAAAACACGTGGCCGAGAACACAGGAGGCCCGTGTAAGCAATTTCACTTCCCTCTGCAGCTCGGGGGTGGGGGGCTCAGATGCCATGATTTCTCCTCTTTGTGAGAGGACCCTAGACGAGGGACCTCAAAGGAACCCCAAGACCCAAAAAGGTGCAGAAAATCCTGTTTTCCGGGTCAGGACAAATAGGTACACACAGCGCAATTCATTCACGTGGGGGAATAGTACGCAACTCCGAAGAGGAGACGTCAGGCACAGGCTAGATCACGGATGAACCTTAAAAATACGGTATTTGCTGCAAGAAACCAGATAGGACAGGACACGGAAGGCGTGACCCCATTAATAGAAAATAACCATAGCACACAAATCCATAGAAAGTGGGTTCCCGTGGGCCAAAAAAAAAAAAAACTTAGTGAGACCCCATCTCAAGCAACCAGCTGAGCGAGGTTGCTGACTGTAATCCCGGCAACATCAAAACACAGATAACCGGATTCTGATCCAGGCTGGGGGGAAAAAAAAATGCCAAAACCTAATCCAAAAATTAACAGAAGCAAAACGGGCTGCCCAGCAGGTGTGAGGCCGTGAGTTCAAGTCCCAACCTCCGTCCCTAGTTTATTTTCGGGGCGGGGGGAGAGGGGGCAGGAGGAAGGAATTTGCCAATCACTCTTTTAATTCTTTCAGTCATTTTTCAGATAGGGTCTTGCTATTTTTTTGGGGGGGGGGTGGAAGACCTGGACTCCCAGCTGGGATTACAGCAGTGCCGTGCCTCGCCTGGCCAGTTGGTTAAGATGGGGTCTCGGTAATTTGTTTGCTTAACCTGTTCAGCCTTCAACGGGGTTTTCCTGATCTCCTTCCACGAAGCAGCCGAGGTTACAGGCGTGCACCAGCATGACCGGCCTGCCGATTGAGATGGGGTCTTGCGATTTTTTTGCTCACGCCGACCTCAAATCCTCGTGACGGCGGCCTCCTGAGTAGCTGGGATTACAGGTGTGAGCCACTGAGTCCAGCTCCCCGTCCGCACCTTATGAAATTTGTCCTTCGGGGACCAGCTTCATTCACCGAGCACAGTGTTTGCAAGCTCCATCCGTGTTGGGGCTCAGGGCTCCTTCCTTTTTCATGGCTGAATACTATTCCACTGCTTGGATTGGCCACCCTTTATCTGCTCATCCATTTGGGGCTCTCTCTCTCTCTCTCTCTCTGTCCCTATTTCTCCTTCTGTCTCTTTCCCTGTGTCTGTGTATCTGTCTGTCTGTCTCTCTTTCTCTCTCTCTCTCCTTGTGTATGTCTTTCTCTATGTCTGTCTGTCCCGCTCTCTGTCTGTATTTCTGTCTCTCCCCCTCTCACTCTGTGTGTGTCTGTCTCTCTGTCTGTCCTTTCTGTCTCTTTCTCCTTCCATGCATCTCCATCCCTCCTCCTTCTCCCTCCTCCTGTCTGTCCACCTGTCCGTCTGTCCAACCCCCCGCAGGTGGCCATGTCACCGGGGCTCGGGGTCCCTGCCCCCCATCAGTCGCATGGCAGGGAGGAGGCCGGGGTCTGTCCTTCCTGTCCTCGATGGCTTTGGGGAGGTGACACAGTCACCTGGGGCCATCTTGGGGTCCCCGCCCCTGAGGTTTTGGGGTGGGGTGGGGCCGCCTCAGCTCTGAACCCCTCTTCAAGCTGCAGACAGATCTGCCTGGGGACATGACACCCCGGGTCCCCTCTGTCACCCCTGGGGTTCCAGACACGGGGTTCAGCTTAGCACCCACTAGGCCCCGCCCCACAAAGACTTCAGCACCTCCCATTGGGTTACGAACCCATCATTCTCCTTCACGGCCACGCCCCAATGACATCACTTCTTCCCACTATGCCCCGCCTCCTTAAGGCTCCACCACCTCCCAAGACCCATTGAGCTAGGCATCCATCAATCTCCCCTTCCAGGCCACGCCCCCAGTGACATCACTTCCTCCCACGAGGTCCCACCCCTTAAAAGCTCCACCCCTCTTAATAGCTCATTGAGCTATGAATCCGTCAATCTCCTCGTCAAAGCCACGCCCCAAAGACACCACTTCCTCCCATGAGGTCCCGCCCCTTAAAGGCTCCACCCCTCCCAATAGCCCATTGAGTTATGAATCCGTCAATCTCCTCGTCAAAGCCACGCCCCCATGTTAGAACCTCAGGAACCCAGGGAGAGATATTTTCCGTGCCCCATGTCACATTGTCTGCTGTCATACTTGGTCATTTGTGGGGTCAGCTGGATGTAGACCCGAGGTGTTACGTGACACCCTACCATGCACAGGACAAACCCCAAGACTATCGATGAGTCAGTCACCAGAAGGATGCAGGGTATTATTGAAAATGAAATATTGCCAGGTGTGGTGACTCACGCCTGTCATCCTGGCATCTATGGAGGCTGAGATTGGGAGGATCATGGTTCAAGGCCAATCCACGGAAAAACTTTGAGAGACCCCATACCAAGCAATAAGTTGCTACGTATCGTAGTGTACACTGGTAATCCCAGCAAAAACTCGAAGATCACAATCTAGGACATAAATGTGAGATGCTTTGTGGAAAACAAAAAAACAAGCAAAAAGGGCTTAGGGTCTGGCTCAAGTGTTTGAGTGCCTATCTACCAAGTGCAAGGACCTGAGTTCAAATCCAAGTACCGCCAAAACTATGGAGCTGGATGATGGGGTCATAGGTCAACGATATAAAGTATGCAATTCAAACAGTTCCACTGCCAAACGGTGCATTACAAGTATTTTTCACCATAAAGGCATTAGTGGAGGAAAGCAGATTGCAGTAGGGTGGAACAGGATGGCTAATGACAGAGGACAAGTCACAAGCCCATGGTCACTGGGCTCCATGGTTTTGGGCCATGGTGAGGCAGAACAAGCCGGTGGGAAGAGGTGGTGGAGAATAGCAACTCACATCATGGTGACCAAGGAGACAGAGTGAGGAAGGGGCCACAGCAATATATTATATATATATGGCCACGCCCCCATGACCTCACTTCCTCCCTCAAGGCCCCACCCCTAAGGGCTCGCCATCTCCTAATAGCCCATTGAGCTTTGAATCCATCAATCTCCCCTCGAGGCCACGCCCCTTTGACATCACTTCCTCCCTCAAGGCCCCCACCCCTAAGGGCAGGCCATCTCCTAATAGCCCATTGAGCTTTGCACCCATTAATCTCCCCTCGAGGCCACGCCCCCACTGACATCACTTCCTCCCACTAAGCCCCACCTCCTTAAGCCTCCATCACTTCCCACTAGCTGTGGATGAAGACATGGCGCTCTGAAGGATATTCCGGGCCCAAACTATAGCAGGAATCCCACATACCAAACATTTCTCTGCCTAAAATGAGCTTAGAAGACAAGCTTTAAAAAAGACTCTGGACCAAGGCAGGGTCATTGGTTCATTTTTGCACACTTATTACTGCATAATAAAAAACTCCATTTCAGGAGCAATGAGCCCCTTGTGTGTTATGCCATGGTGTCCCGGAAGTAAGACGGAAGGGGATCCTAGTACTTCCGGAGCACGCTCAGGTGCGTGGTTAGCATTCAGGTATCTGATTGCAGGAGCCCAGCAGCCC